TACTCCACTCATGGAGCTGATTTTCACACCTAACAAACTTTGCAGTAGCTACAAGTTCAGTTTTGGGCCTACGAACCATGGTTGGTCATATGGGAGTCCAGTGCCCTTAACCACCACAGTACGTCCTGGTCCCTCCATTATTATTTTTTAACTTGACCAGAGAGAGACAGAAGGAAAATAAGAAAGCTGCCAGGTCCGGGATTCGAACTGCAGTCAGTCATGTAGTTCAGCGCCTTCACCATCACACCTGCTGGTCCCTGACCCTCCTTTCAGAGAGCTTCCCATCTTTCCCCATGGCCTCCAGCACCATCAGAAAGTCCTTTCACAAATCTTACTGCAGTCCCTCCTGCTGCAAGCTGCTCTTTTCCTTATATGGGTGAAACAGGCAGACCAGGACTCACACACCCCTCCCTCCTCTCCAGAAGACAGCCGTGCGCCTGCAGCTGCCTGCTAGGTGCTGCAAGGATCCTCTACCTGCTCCTCTGCCCCAGGGCGCCCTCCTCCTCCTGCCCTTGCTCCAAGCCCACCGAGACGCCCAAGGGGCTGCGCATTGCGAGACACTCTGTGAGTCTATCCTGGATCCTCACTGCAGAAAGAAACCGGTTCTTATTGGGTGTGAATCCACGAAGGCCTAAACGCTTCTAGGGGCATGGCTGTGTCGGGCTGGGGTAGAGGCTGAAGCCTCACAGGGTCTCAGAGACACCAGGACTTCACCTCGTTTTGGAAAGCCTAGAGGCAGAGCCAGGAAGTCTCACGGGGTCTGCGTGAGGCCGGAGGTAGCTGCGGCCTGTGACGGTTGACCCTCAGACAAAAGCAGCTTGTCTGGGCTGCAGGAGGGAGGGGAGGAGGGGAGGGAGGGCAGGCACCCAGCCCTGCGGCAAAAGCCCGGCCGGCCCCCCCCCCAGCCACAACCCCCACCCCCCAGCTTCTCACTCGGGTGACTGCTTTCCTAGGCTCCGACCTCTCCCCTCCCCCAGAACAGAAGCCCCCATCTGGGCCTGTTTATTGGAGGCAGGTCAACAAATCATTGCAGTTTAGCCCCTGCCTGGGTAAGGAGATGCCCGTGGTTCTCTGAGCACAGAAGTGTCCGGTATCCGGAGCCGCCAAGGGAACTCGGTCGCAGGCCGCCCCACACCCCTCACGTGCCCGCCCCGCCAGCAGAACTGGTCCCTTGCCGTCCTGAGGGCTCACCCCCTTGCCTCACTCAGGTCTTTGGTTCCCAGATCCCGCCTCTGACACCTTTCCAAAATAGCTCTACTGTCAGCTGCACCCCACTGCGTTGCCCTGATTTTTTTTTTATCCCTACATAGCAGGAGTGACCTCTTGATTTAAAATGATACATCAGGGTGTCCTTTGTTTATTGTCGCCCTCACTAGAGGTCAGCCCCAGAGGGGCAGTCTCTTTTGTTCAAGGCTTCCCCACCAACCCGCATGCTTAGAACAGTGCCTGGCCCAAAAGTAGGTGCTCTGGAAATATTCAATGAGGAAATGAGTGTATGCAATGGAGTACTACACAGCTGTTAAAAGGGAACAACGCACATTTCTGAATAGAACCGTCACCCAGATACGGCAATGAGCTATGAGCAGAAAGAAAGGTGACAGTGTCTGTCTAGGAGGAGGAGGCGTGAGCTTGGAGAAACCCAAATGACAGAGTCCCACTTGCAGAGCTTCCCCTGTACTTCGCTTTTTTTTTTTTAATTGCCAGAGGGCACATGTCCTTGCCAGAGGACAGGGAGAGAGTGCCCCCCAATGGGGCATGGCCTGGTCACACAGCAGCCACTTCATTTCTCCATCCTGTCAGGGTTTAGGACACGCATGGACACACATGCCAGGGGTGTTTTCCAAGCCACCGTGGCAAAGATTCGAACCACACTGTTGGTCATGTGGGATCCAGCTCCCTTAATCATTATGCCATGGGGCCAGCCCCAATTCTAGTCTGAAACTGGGCCCAAGAATCTGTATTTCTTTTTCTTTTTTTTTTTTTCACTTTTTGCAATAGGGTGCATGCCTTGTCCAGAGACAGAGTGAGAAAGTGAGAATTCACCCCCAAGAGGGATGGCCACACTACAATCCCTTCTCCATTCTCCTCTTAGGATTTTGGGTTCACACACGCACACACGCACACACACACACACACACACAAACCTGTTGTGATTGTCAACGACATCTCTCCGGTATGTAAGAGATCTGGGAGGACTCAGACCAGGTCTGGGGGGTGGGGGGGGCGCTGGAGCGGCAGAATGAAGTGTTTAAGGGGCTATGACTTGGGGTCGAATCACCAGACTTCAATTCAAATTTAACTGTGCCACTTCCCAGCCGTGTGACCTTGGGTGGTGACTTCCCCTCTGTGGGCCTGGGTTTTCTTACGTGTAGTAAGGCATCACCAACATCATGCATTTGGAGTTGCTGTGAGGATTCCGCGAGGTAAACCAGCAGTTCCTTTTAAGCACTTAATACATGCTAGCTTGAATTATTATGTAAAGGCTAATAAGGAAAAAAGAAAATCACGTTTTACTTGTGTAATTACAAATACACGTAAGGCCGGCTCCATAGCCTGGTGGCTAAGGGGGCTAGATCCCATAGAGCCGACTGCAGTTCAAGTCCCATGCCAGTCAGTGCCCCAAATCCCAAAAGGATGGACAGATGGAAGGGTTGCGTGTGACATCCCTTTGGGGGTGCTTTCTCCCTCTCTTTCTCTGGTGAGTACACATAACCTTTGGCAATTCAAACATAAACAGATGAGACAAATGAGAAAGGATGAATTTGGGGTAGCAGGTCTAATTCCAGTTCTTTCATGACAGGGCAGAGCAGGAGTTAAGGGACAGACAGGGAAAGGCCTCCTCAACCCTAGCGCCCAGACCCTCCCCCAATTTGCAAGTCTGACCTCATTCCTTTCAAGCTGCAAAAGCAGGAATCCTTAAAAGACCAGAAGGTCCTTGGCCAGCACGTGACTCCCTGACTCTGGTCTCTCCTAAGATGCCCCTGGTGGTGTTTTTTTTGTGCCCCCCCCCCCAGCTCTTCCATAAGTGGGCCAGCCTGCTCAGGCAGACTCAGCCAGCGTCCCTAGAACTCCTGGAGACCCCTTCGCCCAGACCCCCAACTTTGTTCCTCTCTTCACCGGCCCTAGTTGGTGCCCAGTACCCTCGCCTCTGTCAGGAAGTCCTTCTGCAAGGCTAACTTAAGCCTTTCTTCCTAGAAGTGGTGGGTTTCCTTCTTGAGTGCCAACAGGACCCAGAAAGCCCCGTCCCTACCTGGGGTCCCCGCCTAGCTTCCCTGGGACCCCCCCTAGTCTATCAGAAATCCTCAGCATTCTTTTTGGAAGCAAGTCCAGCTTCGGTCTTTCTGGCTTCCAAGGGAGTGTATTCCTGCAGGGTGGGTACGTGTCAAAAGACCGGCTGAGGGATCAGAGGAGGCCAGCACCCCCTTTTCAGAAGGACCCAGGAACCCCCAGCACTAGAGCAGTTTATATTTAGCGCGTCTCTGCTCCTCCCTCAGCGCGCTGTCTCCCTCCCCTCCGCCTGCCACCGCCTCCTCCCTGATGCTAGGACGAGCTTTGCCTGGAGACTGGGGGACTGGCCTCCCCACTGCCACCTCGGGAGGCCGCGACGACCCAAGGCTGGGGTGTGGGAACAGAGGGCCAGAAAGATGGAGACTGAGAGGCAGGCATGGGGATGGTGAGGGGCCAAGATGGGAGACGGAGGGACCGAGGGACACAGCTAGCCCGTCCTCGCCTTCTTCCTCTCCTGGTCGGGGTGGGAGGCGCCTTCGAAGCCCAGCCGGCTTGGGGTGGGGGAAGCTGGTGAAGGCCCCCACAATCCACCTCTAACTTTGGGAGGGGGTGGGGCCTCCCACAGCTGTTTCTGTTTCCAGAAAAGAATGTGCAGGGTCCCACTCCCGCGAGGGGGAGGGGCTGGGCGTGCAGCCCCGAGTCTGGCTTCAGTCCCTCTCCCCACTCCCCTTCTGGGGAGGGGGCAGTCGAGGTCAGAGGCAGGGAGAGCCCCCTCCCCCCAAGGGCAGCTCAGGTTTCCCCAAACGGGAAGCTCTGGCCACTGGCCACACACAGGCTTGGGGACGCCACCAGCTAGTGGAGCCAGTGTCTGCGGGCAGGGGGAGGGGAAGAGAGGCGGAGGCTGAGGCTGGGGCAGGGAGAGGGGTGCAGAAATGCTAGAAGGGGAGACCGGGGAGACTGACGGCGAGGGACACAGACGGGCTGAGACAGGATGAAGAAAGAGCAGCACACTGAAAGTCACAGAGCTGTGGCAGGAAGGACCCCAGGAGGAGGTCGGGAGACTCGAGGAGAGGCACGGGAGAGCGGATGGTGTCTCCAAGTCATTCTGGAGACCTCGCTCATCTTCCACCATTCGAGCACCCGGAGACTCCGGAAGTCAGACCCCGTGTGCACTCACTGGCCTCCTCTTGGGTTAAGGAGGGCTGGGGCCAGGCAGGAAAGAGGGGAAATGTCGCCAGACGGTCATCATCTCGGTGGGGTTCTCAGGGACTAGAGCTTCCACTGAGCAGGGAGCCCTCCCTCCAGAGGCCCTAAGATCCCCTCCCCCCACCCCGCCCCCTCCGGAGATCTCCAAGCACAGCAGGACTTAGAGAAGATGGAGCCCTGGTGGAGAGGCCCAGAGGGGCATGTTTGGGTCTCGGCTGTGTGACCTTGGGTGAGTCGCTTGCTGTCTCTGATCCTCAGTCTCTTTAAAACGAGAACCATCACCCCTGTCTCCCGAGCCGTAAGGAGACAACGCATGCAAAGTACTCGGACCCAGGCTTAACACATACTTGGCGCCCAAGAGGATTTCTTTGAGTAAGGGGTACAGAGGATAAGGACTATGCATCTCACGAGGCCCCAGCGGAGGGGATGCAGCCCTCCCTCCCCCGATTTGGGGGCGGGGAGGCCAGGTTCCGCCCGCCCCCCGGACTCTGGGGTCTCCAGCCCCACCCCCTGTCCTTTCCTCCTCCCTGCCCCCACCCCTGGACGGATGTCCGAGCATCCAACCAAGACAGACAGACACAGACGGGGGTGGAGGGACAGACGGACAGGCGG